GTCACGAGCGACCATGATGCGCTCAACGTCGCCATCGTAGATATTTTGTCCAACAATATGCTGGACCTCCGCACAGAAATCGTGCAGGAGATGGAGAGCGGGTTGTGCCGAAATCTGCTCGGGCCCCGTGCTCAGCAACCGAATTTCGCTCGGTGAAGGGGAGTCGATGTGGCCCCTGGTAATTGGAACGATTTTCCTGTTCTTCGCAATGTTAGTTGCTGCTTTTCTTGCTGGTCGCCAGAGTGTTTACTTCGGCTGCTGTTCATGTTTTTCCAGATGTTGTGGCCGCTTGGCACCACAAGTGAGGTCCCACACGGAGGGCCACACAAGCTCGGATGAGTCCCACTGCGATGTGGAGAATCAGTTCTTGGGGCTGTCGAACGTGACCCCCATTTTTCAAAAATGACTGCGAGGGTTTGGGGTGAGGCCCGAAGCTACGAGTATCGCAGTGATATGACCGTTATGCTTCCGCCAAGCCAGGATCCACCCAACTTCCGCGTTTCACTCTGTGGATCAGTCCACATCGGCTGCACAATGTCCGAGTTGCCTGAGTTTAAAAGCCAAGGGTAGTGGCGTTGCCAGCCCGAGATTGAACTTCCAGTTAACAACAGCAGAACCTAAACCTGGTCAAACGCATCGCCAAAGGTCTGCCAACCATTGACACGTCGGCATTGGATGCGCAGATCAAGCAGCTGGAGGACGCGCTAAATTCTGTTGGCAGCAAGGAAACAGGAGTTAGAATGCACAGAGAAGCGCAGATGGAAGTAGTAAAGAAGTTTTGGGATGTTTCAGTGTGTCGAGCAGAGTGGAAAGCAGGGTCCGGAGCACCTCTGATCTCATGGAGGAGCGGTGCGAGGATGCTGAAGTGAAGCTTGCGACTAGCTGGCGACTTAATTTACTCGGCGAGGACATCAAAGCAGTGTGTAGTTAAAGGTGGCTGTCGCCTCGTTATTGTGAGGCCAGCAGCAATTAGAGTCCGCTTCTGCCGAGCTTGAAGTCCTGGAGATGGAACTAAAAGCTGCGGTCTCAGTCGACTCTGGCCGACTTGCACTCTTGGTCTCGCTGTTGCGGTGACGGCGTCAGGTTGCAAGGGACGCCAATCAAGCAAGCGAGGCCGATTGTGAGCGGTCGAGTTCAACGCGAAAGTGCTCCAGTGCCGATCGTTTCAGGAGAAGATCTCGCAGCTGGAAGATCTTTCCGCCCAGTTGCAGGTGACAGTGGCACATGTCTAAGCTTTCGCTGCGAAATCAGAATGGTGCTGAGCTGGCAGGAGCAGAATCTGGGCTTCATCAAGACTTTTGAAGAGCAGCTGGAGTGGGAGTCCTATCTTGGTTCAATAAAGTCAAGGGAACAAGAGTCGATCAGCGAGTGCACTCAAGTCACTTGCCATTGAGGCATGCAAGAAAAGACATCAGACAAGAGGCTAGGTCGTACAAGCCGTCGCCACCCGTCTGCCGCCCGACTTCTCTGCAGGTAACAGATCAATACCAGGGCGCCTTGGACAACCAAGCGAAAAAGTTGCACGAGGCTCCCAGCTCTTGAGCACCTTCCAGAGCCTGTAGCCTTCGCATGTGGCTTTCAGACTTTTCAGGTTGTCCTGGAGAGGTTGTGGCGGGAGTAGGCGTTACAAAGTACTTCGATTCAAACGTCGGACAGTTGCCGGTTCAAAAAGGGCAGGGAAGCAAGTGGAGAGTTTTTGGTGCATGCTGCCAGGGCTACGTGAGATGTCGTGGCAAGTGGCAAGGATCCTATTGACCCCTGCTTGGAAGCCAACTGACGACAGGCTGAAAGCCATGTCAGAAGACTGGAAGGTCAGCTTCGGGTCACTGTCGTACGGGCCTGTTGAAGAAAATACTGGCTACTGGCATATGTCGGGGTTAGCACTGCCTATATTTCAGACTGCAATCCTGCCAGCTGGACAAGATCAAAGACCTGGAAGCTGCAGGGTCCCAACCACTTCCGCTTGATAAGGAATTTCTTGCATCCGCAGTAGTGCAGACTCTTCGGATACTGAGGGAGTCCGTCAAGAGCGTAGCAACGCTCGCAGGAGTGAGGCGCGACATTCGGGCACAGCTCTGTGTTCAGTCCGTGGCTTTTTCAGATCAGGCAGCACTGGCTGGCGAACATGCAAAGATCGAGGAGATGTCATCGAAGCTGCACTGGCAGGTGCACCGACGATCGGGTCACTGCGATCGCTATGCTAAGTTGCAGGGTTGGAGTGCTGATCCCCAAAAGGCGGCGCGGCTCAGACAATTGGAGTTCTACGCCAACACGTGGCAACGGAAAGTCCACGAGCTGGCTGAATCCAATGCCATTCGAGCCTGGGGCCTGGATGGTTGTACCACGGAATGCCACGGCCAAGCTGCGCAGATAGCTTGCGGATGCTTGCGGTTTGTCTGTGTCTGTTCTGACTGTGAAATCAATGCGCTACGAACCTTTGCTCACGAGACTCAGGTTCTCACTGAGCCTGCAAACATGCATTCGACGACGTCTCAGCTTGGTTTATTTTCCAAGATGGCGTTCTTGCACATATCGGATTTGGGAAAAGGAAAGATTATCTTGCTAAGGTTTCGCGTTTCGAATTTCTCCGAGAAGATGAGGTGGCCGAAAGGCGTGTTCGCAGACGTCCATTTGCATTCCGTTCTGGTTGCGGCGGCTTGACACGCAAATCATTATGCGGAGTCTGCAGGACGCATGGTGCAAAGCCCTGAATTCAACATACCGGAGTGGCTCGCCCAGACAATGTTGTGCCGGCGGCGTTCACAGTCCGACATGGATTGCAATGAGGTTGGGAGAAACTCAGCTGGAGTTCTTCCCGGCTGGAGAGATAAATTCTCGGCCCGGCTGGTGCTCAGTAAGGCAGCTTGTGGCGATGTTTCTTGGACCTCTCCCCTCTTCCTTCAATCTAGCAGGCTTCGTGTTCCTGACGGATCTCGCATGCGTTGGCGGGCTGGGACCTCGAGCCTTTTTTGCTCAGGAGGAATCATAGAAAACGACCTCAACGGTTCTTTTCCCGTTCAGGTAACTGTGGGCAACAAGGAATTCGATCCGCGGGAAGACCACTATGATGCACGCCAGTGGCCGGAAACTCGAAGTCAGGGAAGGCAGTCACGCGCAAGTGTAGCATTCCTTCAGCCCAGGTGGAACAGATATGGCATCCAGTGCCTGAACTTTTGCCAGGCGTGTACCGTCGTACTTCGTAGACACATGCGGCACGTGTGTTCTCATTTACATGTTGCTGTTGCGGTGGTCGACCCACAAGCCGCATAATCGTCGATGGCTGGGCGGCATTCGTTGCACTTCTTGTTGTTGCTGCTGTCGTTGCTGTTGCTGTTGCTGCCGCTGTCGCTGTCACTGTCGCTAACGCTGTCGCTAACGCTGTCGCTAACGCTGTCGCTGTTGTTGGTCTTGTTGTTGTTGTTGTTGGTGGTGGTGGTGGTGGTGGTGGTGGTGGTGGTGGTGTTGGTGGTGGTGGTGGTGCTGCTGCTGCTGCTGCTGCTGGTGTTGCTGTTGCGGTTGTTGTTGTGGTTGCAGATGTGGTTGTGGTTGTGTTGGTGATGGTTGTTGTTGTTGTTGTTGCTGCTGTTGCTGCTGCTGCTGCTGCTGCTGCTGTTGTTGTTGTTGTTGTTGTTGTTGTTGTAAGCCTCTCGGCTCAGGTAAGGTCAGGCTAGTACAGTCGCCTTTT